ACCACCACGTCAAGGTAGCAACAACGACCATCTTCCATTGTAACATCCTAATGAGTAAAAAATTAGATTATCTGAAGTTCCTTAAATCATTGTAAGCCACTTCGTCAGAGAATAAATAACCAGATTATCAAGTTAAACCATGATAATGATACCTATAAATGATATCATGTGAAAGAAAATTATCATTGACTTTTTTTTCTGTTTTCCTATTACTTATTCTTCAATGAAATAACAGATCTCTTTGGGTATACAATCTTATGAGAAGATTTAAACTATTCATGAATTCATTTTATTCAATAAATCTTGCTCTTTTAAATTTATTCAAATTTTATCCATAAAAAACAAACGTATCAGAATATATGAAATAATCTAATTATATTTAATTTTGGTCTTATTTTCATTGAATAACTCATTTGACCGAAGTTATGGTTATGATCCCTTTGAAACATTAAAAAAAAAACAAATAAATAGAAGAATACATGACAAAGAAATGAGTTCAAAGTTAATTGACAGGAGATCTATATAGATTAGTGAAATTTATTCACTAAGAATATTCATTTATAGATTGTCTTAAAATCAATCCCTAGTTATTGTTTCGTTGCTTTTTTTTCTTTTCTTTTCTCTAATTCTTTCAACAACAACAACAACAACAAAACATTCAGATCAAAATAGGCCAGTTGTTTAGTTAGATAAAAGACAATATTGTGAATTTATTGTTTAACGTTTTCTTTGTAAATGATCTAATTAGTAAATAATATTATTATTTATAATTAGATTAATAATAACCCAGACAATTATGTCAGACAAATAGATTTTTTATAGTTGAATTCATCGTTCTTCTGAACGATGAAAGCTCCACGACCAAACCATCCAGCTCAGAGAACAAAACTCCACCAAAATCATCCACCTGGGCTACAAATCTTCTCCACCATCTCATGCGTCAATTAATGCTAGATCACCAATGGAAAACCTGGAAGTGCTAGACGGCCATTTCGACCTAGTATAGGACTCCTCAACGGTGAACATCCACGACCTCGCATTCAACACTCGAATCCAGTACGTCTAGATCACTGAGCCGACATCAAACTGTGTTAATGTCCAACTTCAACAAATCACGAATTTGGTCCACCGTCCACCATTGTCTTCATATAAAGTCATACTTGGAAAATAAGTTATATTATTTGTTGAATAAATCTAAGTTGAAACAAGCTGTTTCTGTCAACAATTCTATTGTACTCTTATTTAAACTAATCAAATTGTTCATTATATGTGTTGGATCAGTGGATAAAAAACATGGCAATATTTATGTTCAATTCTATAACACCTCTTCCACATTACATTTGGAACCATAGACATACATTTATCATCAGAAATATGATGATTGTGCAACATTTTATTTTGATACCTGCTCAGAGCCGTTATTTATACAATTTCTTTCTACGTACGGAATTATCGAAATAAATTCGGATAGTTTCAGCTTTTTCTAAGTGATTATCTAGGTTACGCACATACATTTATATACTATTGTTAAACAAAATACAGTTTATCTCTGATCTAATCATTGCACGATTCGGGCTAAACTACCATCACTTTTAGTAGTATTTTCACCTATGTCTGTCCATTGATGAGACGATGAGTAATTACAGTGAGAATAAAGCATCAAATATATCATACGATGACAAACGACACAAAAAGATTAAAGCTATTCCAAGACAGTAAGAGATAAATTGTATCTAAATCTTTCCCAACAAACATGCTAAATGTTTACAAACCATGTAGAAATACAACGAGAATTCAATGGATTGTTGCATATCTTTTCCATAGTATTCTTGGTGTAACAAAACGCGTAATAATGATTACTAGTATCTATTATGGATAACGTTAAAAAATCTCAAACTAGGACAGAAATATTTTTCAGTACTTAGAAGTTCTAGGTGTTTTGCTAGTTTGTGGTAAGTCCGTGTTGGAAGAACAAAATCAGTTTTAAAAAGAAATCAGTTTGCAACCCTAATCAACCGACTTTATTTCTTGTTCATTGACAACAGATTTAATTAAAATATCACTCATTGACAATTGAGTAATTAGTAGGCGATTGCTACATAAATTCTTAATTCTAATACTCTGTCAATCATTCTGAAGTTACCTTAGTAGTTATCAAATTTATTAGAGGCAAAAAGAATTCTTATTCATTATTTTATCGTTCGATTTTTCTTTATAAGTTTCATATACTGGTTTACTTCAATTTTCGCTTGTTCAAGTATCAATCAAAAACTTGGAAATAAAAAAATATATACTCTTTATATAATTTAATGTCTAGAACTGATACGGTGTTCGGTAGATATGATAACCAGAATAATCTTCTCATTGACAATAAATTAAACACCAGTTGCTCAGTTTCAAACTATTTAGTGGCCCAGGATCTGACTCCAGTTATAGCGGGTAAATGATCGTTATTGAATGAGTGCTGTTGAAATATACATCTTGATTATTCTCGTATATTATTATCGACTTGAATCGCGTTAGTGAATAACGGAATTAAATAAGTAAAATACGAGAATAAATGTTTGAATACGTAGATTTTGTACACTCATTGATTTGGGCAGACAATCAGAGAAACGAAGCGAAGAGAAGAGAGCGAAGCGAAATGACGCGCAGTAGAGAAGGCTTGTGAGCCAACTCGCTTTAGCCAAGCATTAATCAATATTTATAATCACACAAAAATAAGCTACATATATGTGATGAGTAGGATAAGATGTACACACACCTACGCGCTCATATAAAAAGAGTTAGAGTTGATAAGTGAATAATTAACAAGGTTAAAACGTGGCTCAAGAAGAATGGATAAATTAGCCTGTCCAGTAGCTAGAATAAGTTATATGAGCTTAACATAGTAACTGACACTATAACTTCTTCTCAATAAAATGTTTTCGATTCAAGTATAAATGAACCATGAAAACATTGTTCCATATTCAAATAAAATCATTTGTCCTTATATAATAAAATAATAATAATGATAACCAGTGAAAAATTGAATTTCTTATTTTGACATTTCATGACAAAGTGTAGGTCATTTCTTTCATTTAAAAAAAATATTCAATTTTAGCACAAAATTAATGGTGTATGTGAATGATATCAAAATAGAATGAAAATTAATTATTTAATTCTACACAAGTTTCAACTTTCTAAGCAAAGATGGATAGTGGCTAGCAGTGGAATCCAGGATGCACGTTTCGTCCCATTCGGGACTTTTCAGCTGTATGTACCTGTATCCCAGAGTTGATATTCATTCTGAAACACGACCCCACTACCGTTCGCTTCATACGCCATCGCGTTATCCACTTAGCTACTGAGTCCTGATACCCACTTGCATGTGAATTAAGGCGATATTTAGACAACACGCACAGTATGCACATATGCCAATAAGAGACTGATCAAACATTGATTAAACATCAATGAGAGGATTCAAGTAAACAATACCAAGTGAAGTTTACATATGGCTTTATTTCAAGATGTGAAAATGAATTGTTCACTTGTGTATTAAATTATGATAACAATCAAACAAGATGACCGATTAACATTACTTTCCAGAAATCCTATAAACTCAATCTATCATTCATATATGCATATTGCTGATTTGAATTTTCAGAAGGGCTTTAATGGAGATTTTTGAAATTTCACTGGTTGAAATTATGAGTCAATTGAAGCTAGACCACCATGCAAAACCTGGAAGAACTGGACGGCCGTTTCGTCCTAGTATGGGACCCCTCAGCGGTGCGCATCCACGATCCCGCCTCACGAGGTTCGAAACCAGGACCTATCGGTCTCGTGCGCGACCGCTTAACCATTAGACCACTGAGTTGATACCCAACGGTGTTAACGTCTAACTTCAACCAATCCACGAAATTGCACCACCGTACACCATTGTCTTCAGTGAGCTGATATCCCTTCTGATAATAATCATCTTCTCACTAGTGACTGACTTCAAGAGGCATTTCCTGGAGTTCTAGTCAGAAGCAGTGACCAGTGGAGTTAAGCCGAGTCAGTTGTGAGATAATAACTCACAGAAGACAAGGGTGGATATGTGAATGGAGCTAATTTTATAAAATATTCAATAGGTGCTCTGAAGGAAATTAAAATGTAAAGTTTATATTGTAAATGTTTATATTCGGTGTATGATAGATTAATAGGTTACGCAATCGTGTTTTAGAAAGTAAATGATTAACCTGCCAAAGACTTGTCACGTACATATAATAGAGTATTTAATAGTGATTTTGAGGCTCTTTTTAGTAACTATCTGATATAGATGTGTATATCAAAATTACAATACCTATTTTGAAAAATTAAACAATTGTATAACGTTTCGTTGGTTCAATCAGATATATATGTATTATAACAGTTAGATTCACAAGTCGATCTAAACTAGACCACCACTGAAAACTTATGGTTTGTAAATCTAATTATTACATAAATGTGTTTACCAAGAATAAAACAAAATTGTTAGTGAGTGATGTAAGAAAATAAGCCAATAAGTTATGGACCGACTAGACATTATGTGTTCGCTTTCAGTTTGTATTGAACGAGAGGAAAAACAACTTTTCGATCAATGTGAATAAAATAAACGTTTGGCTCCCTGATACTGTGGCGTATGCTACTTATGTCAACAAAAATAAGTAGTATGTAACACCAATCGGAAGTGGAAAACTTGGTAGCAGAAGGCTAACAAGATCGAGTTGACCAAAACAGAAAGGGAAATAGAACGGAATTGAGAATTGGATGAATCACGCAGTGTGAAGAACAATTGATAAAAGATTTGCAAATGAAGCATTTAATGTATGGTTCTTATATTTTAAGATGATGTTTTGTAATTTTGTATAAAACAATAAACTGGTTTTTCTCATATGACTTCTCATTCGTTACAGTACTACCTTTCAAGATGAAAACTGCAATAAATTAAAGAAATAACTGTGAATTAAAACAAAGCATTCAGTGAGTTGACTAACCTTTTCATAAACACCAGCAAATATAAGTTCCGTCTCAACTAACATGACTAATATACCAAATACAGCGAAACTTAATGAAAAATCTGATATCCGACATCGTTTCTCAAATAGACGTTTTCGTTTACCTAAACGATAGCCAACATTCTTAATTGTTCTTTGTTGATGTTGATTATTCATTGCATCGCGTCTGTAATAAAATATGAAAATCAAAATTTTAGAAAATTATTTGAATTATATTAGAATACACTATATTTGATACTTGGTAAGTTTATAGATAAATTGTATAAAATATTTTCCCCAAGTGTTTGTCAAAAAAAGATTTATGATGGTTTTCATAGGTTTCTTAATTTTTTTTAGTATCCCCTAGTAACTATTTTATAATATTTGCCGCTTCATTCAAACTATAGATGTATTGTAATTTTTTTTAATTGTTTGAGTAAAATTTTGCTTATATTTGATGATATGACTTAAGTTTCTGAGATATGTTTCTTTATAAAAATATGACTTTTGTCATTAAGTCAAAGCTCAGTAATTTCACTTTTGGCGCGTTGATATGCACGCATGATCTGCGCAAAATGATTGTAAAAAAAAGAGAAGTTAAAGAGAAAACAAATAACCCGATGAGGGAAATAAAAATACAAAAGTTATGTCTTCATATTTGTGTTGGGGAAAGTAGTGACAGACTAAATTGAGCCGTCAAAGCTTCAGAGCAAATGATTGGTCTGCAACCCATTTTTAGTAAATCAGATAAAGCTATCAGTTTTCGATTAGACATAATGAAAAAAGTTAAAAGATATTGGAAAAATGAAATATTTCACTGTCTAATTAGATATTCTCGTAAGTAAAGCAATTTTTGTGTTCTTCTTTACATTTAACTTCTTGTTATACATCGTACGTTGATCCTATCTAATTGCTATTAATCTGTTGTCCGATTGTTTTATCGTGAAAACAATACTAAACAGAAAATGATTCAAGTGTATTGACTGAGGATAGACTGTAGTGTGTGCTACTGATTTCTACAGATATAAGTAGTACCAATCGAAAATGAAATACCTGACAGCAGAAGGTTAAGAAGAATGAAGAAAATAGAACGAGAACAGAGAATGATTGGTGTGGAAACAAAGGAGTAATGAAATCTGAGACGATTAATTGACATTTTGCAAATGAAGTATTTACTGTACGGTTCTCAGATTTTACTAAGATATTCTGTTATGTTGTGTTAATATATTCCATTGTCTCCACTTATATTCTCGTTCACTGCGAGACTACTAGGTTTCTAGTGAAACATAAATTATATTTTTACACTGTTGATTCAAAAACAAGATATCCATTACTGTGTTAAATATATTATACAGTATAATATAAATAAATATACGAACTAAATTATGAAAACCGTGAGTTTTGTAATATAGGATCTATTTATCTTATCCCTTTTATGATACTCATTAATACAATGACTGATTTAACTGACAAGAGTTGGAATCTTTATCACGCTATCTCCATGATAAATCTTCGTGAAGTCCATGTATGATTTCATCAAAAGTTATAGTAATTCAGTTCATGAAATAATTGAACAAATTATTTCATTCAGTTCACTTAAATAAGTTAACACATTTTAATGGATTGAAATTTGTAGTGTCGGTTATTATGTTAAGCCCATATACCTTATTCTAGCTTTCGGACAGCCCTTCTATTCATTCTACTTGAGTCACATCCTGACCTTGTTAATTATTCGCTTATCAATCTTGACTGTTTTTATATGAGCGCGTAGGTGTGTGTACACTTCCTATCCCATTACTCATCACATGTCTGTAACTTATTTTTGTGTGCCTATAAATATTGATTAACGCTTGATTAAAAGGGATTTGACTTACCCACCATCTCCACTCTGCGTCGTTTCTCTTTTCTCTATCCCATTCGCTTTATATACAAAATATATGTATTCACAAGTTCATTCTCGTTATTTGACTTATTTAATTCCGTTATTGACTAACGCGATTTAAGTCGATAATTATATACGAAAATATGCGATATATATATTTTGATAACAAACATTCATACGATCTAATTGGAGTCAAATCATCGGGCCATTAAAGTGGAGAGCCCTTTCGACAACATCGTCCGATCGAAATGACGATTAAATAACGGGCCTCCACAAAAAATTAATTATTTTTAAAGAAGAATAGATAAACAACTAATCAAGCAATAGATTAACCTACACGACAACTTCAAATCAAAGTTAACTTCAGATTAGATTTACTCATATTCCTTTTTGAATTCTTTTTATCAGCGAAATTTCTTTACTTGATTTTTCTATTTTTAAATAAATATTTAATGTAAAGTATTCAATTTTTCTCACTTCATCGAAATAGTATAACAGATGTCCACGAGAATTTTTTCACTAACAGTCATGTTTATTCACAATCTAATCTGTACACATACACAAAATTCTTTTTTTCTAGATTGTTGACTGATGATGGATTAGACATATTTATCTGAGATGGTGGAGAAGATTTGTAGCTCAGGTGGATGTAGAAATTTGCATTTATGATGTCATTCAGAAGAATGATAAAAGCTACACCACTAAACCATCCAGTTCAGAGAACAAAACTTTATCAAAAACAAATTTATTTATTTAATCATGGAGTTGTACAAATAGAACTTTATTTAATAACGAATTCTTTTTAAGATTTATTAAGTGAGATTTTCTATCATGATCATAATAAACAAAAACATTCATGTGACTTGAAGTTACAAATGAAATTTTTGTTGAAACTTTAGCCATTTGTTACTGTTTTAATTTATCCTAGGAAGTGAATTCAGATGAAATGGTTCTATAACGTAGAAATGTAGGTATATGGTACATATACCCTGTAGGCAAATAAAAAAACCTATACTTTAAGATTTAAATGACAATGAAAGGTAGTTATAACGATCGAAGTCAATCCAAAGACTGTAAACTGATCGAATTAAAATTAAAGACCTATCCTGACATTTTATTAGCAAGATACCTTTTGAAAGTGTCTACATGATGGGTAATATGCTCAAAAATAAACAGTTTACCCATTTAAATATCCCAGGAAAAAATATCTTCAACTTCTAGGATTCAAAATAGATAAAGAATTCAACCTGACCAACTAGACACTCCTTGAACATGATATTCGGACTTGTTATATACCATCTGATTTAATAATCAATAACTTAAAGGTTCAAAATGAGATGAAACCTCCATCAAATGTACGATTATTCCGGAATAGTACGTGATAGGTATGATTTCAGAAATATTTACCACAGAAGCAGAAAGATGAGCATAGTTAAATAGACAACAACACGTATGGTAGAAGAACATTAAAATATACTTTAAGATCATATATCAACATGCTATGAGTCGTTTTATTAGAGGTTTATTAAAGTAGTGTAAAGTAATTTTTAATCTTTAACCAAACAACAACATTAAAAACCAAAATGAATGTGTCTATTTGATGGATAGCTAAGGTACCGGGCAAAACATTCCCTCATATTGATTAGTACACTAATAAATGAACTATGATTATTACTGCAGATAATGTCAAAGATTCTTTTCACAACTAACAGTTTTAAAAGATTTGACTAGAAATAAAGTTTATCCTAACAACTAATAGTCATTAAAATATGAACCAGTTTGCCAATTTGTTTTGAAAAATAAAATTTTTCGAGGAAAGATTGAGATTTGATAAAAAGAAGAGTGAACAATACATCTAAATGTTATGTAACTATATTGTACAATGTTATTTGAATTTGAATTCTAAACACAAACTGTTGTTTATTAATACAATACATAGTGAGCCCCCAAATGCCCTAGTATGGCCGAGGGTGGGGTGGGCCTGCCCTTCTTCTCGGAGTGCTCTTACACGGCCACGCGTATACAGCCTCTGCCATGGAAGTCCTACTCATTGCCTTCTCGTGGCGGGGGTGTTGTTTACGAAAATGAGAGGACGAAAAGCGAGTGTCCGGCGCTTTAACCGGATTCCAAACCAATGGTGCACATGGGCTCCAGTACCCTGCGGGAACAAATGGCGTATGAACCAATCATTGGTCACCGGCTACCATGGGACTGCATCTCCTTATGATGCTCCAGTGCCTTGTGGATCAAAGCCTTAGGTCGAAAAAAACCACCTGCTTCGGTTTGGGCACACGGGCAATATCACAGCCCTCACATAAATCAAATAAGATTTGTGTGGCACATATGTATATGGTGCCTCCTTGTACCAATGTATATGTGTGAATTATGAGTGTAAATTTTCTCAAGAGATTGTAATTTATGGTTGGCTTATGTAAAAAATCTTTGCAGTTCACAGAAAATGAGCAGTGGATTTAACACTTTTTTTCTTGTTTCCAGAACATGTCATACATAAGATAAACTGTTTATTTTGAGGGAATTAAGTGAAAAATTTAATACCCGATAACAAAATCTCTGACGTTTAATTGAAGAAATTTGATAAATTGTAGATAAGTCGTTTTTAATCTTATAAATGAGTAAAATATATTGTTGATGCTGAACTTAATTCTTATGACAAATTATTACTGTTATGTTTGATTGAAAAATTTACGGAAGATAGTTTAGCTTAAAGACAATTTTCCCTATTAACCAACATTGATTCGGTTCATTATTAAATAAGTGATCATGATAAACTTATTTGTCACCTTAATGAACATTAATGAAAAAAAAATGTTGACAAGAGAAAAATATATCTGATATTGTTTGTCCATGTTCATTGTACTACTCAATATGATTAATTTTTCTCAACTAGAAACATTCCAAGTTATTGTGTGAATAATATTTATTTTTCACTGAATATAATTATCATTGATATAAATGAAAGCAAACATTCCCCCCTAACACATAGACTGTTTTTTTCAGGTTACATTATAGATTATACTTTATCATATGACATTACAGAGGAACTTTCATCCCTTAGTAAAATATACAAATATGTCACTTAATGATGTCATGGTATTATTACTTAATGATGTAAAGAAATTTATTAAAAAGGGTTCAACTGTTTAACATATCGACTATTATTAATAAATTGATGATTTATATCCCATGATTTCAACATTAACAACTCAAATATTTTACTTGTTACATCTAAAGAAACTTAAAAGGTCTATAGTATATTTTTAGTGTACTCTTTTCTTTCTGCTTAG